GTACAGCTGTGTTATGTACAGCAGTATGACTATTTCGTTGTGTTTACAGTGTGTAATTTGTACAGCTGTGTTATGTACAGCAGTATGACTATTTCGTTGTGTTTACAGTGTGTAATTTGTACAGCTGTGTTATGTACAGCAGTATGACTATTTCGTTGTGTTTACAGTGTGTAATTTGTACAGCTGTGTTATGTACAGCAGTATGACTATTTCGTTGTGTTTACAGTGTGTAATTTGTACAGCTGTGTTATGTACAGCAGTATGACTATTTCGTTGTTTACAGTGTGTAATTTGTACAGCTGTGTTATGTACAGCAGTATGACTATTTCGTTGTGTTTACAGTGTGTAATTTGAGTAAGAATTTGACAATCAGCAAAACATTAGCGTCTCTCATTATAGCTCCTATGATTGTAATGTAGGTGTAGCTTGTTTTTAACACCAATGGCCTTTTTGTAATGCATGTGTTGATAATCCAAGGTGACTTCCAGCAGCCGCTGTGTGTCAACCTGCCAGGGTTTAATACACACTCTTTCTGTGTTATACTCTACAGTATGTTTGCCAGTAGCCATGTTTTAAAGCCCCTTTTAATCTGAGGGATTAGATTTGGGGTCACGAGGTCAGAATTATGGCACAGGCACAGAAGGGCTGGGGCATCCAGTTGAACCCATCTAACACTGCAGCCACAGAGATCAATAAATATTAACATCATACACGTCTTCTTTCTCGCTGTTTCCTCTCTCCTCATTCTCTCCGTCTCATTCTTTCCCCATCGTTACATCATTACTCTCTCTCTCTTCCTCTCTCTCTCTCTCTCTCCATTTATGTTTGGCAGGAGTGAGTTCTCTGCCTCCACCCAAATGTTCTCCCAGAGGCCTCAGGTTCAAGTCAAGTGCAGCCACGCTGCACACTGAGTGGAATCCCAAAAAAACATGATTAAGAACCGTGTGTGTGAGAGAGAAAATAGTGTAGAGTATCTGGGTATAGTATATCACTACTGTATCTGTGTGTCCTTGCCGTCAGTGGACGGCTCCTTGTGTGTGTTCGCATGCCCAGAAGGAGGGGTGTGCCAGACGGGTCTCAGAGCGAATATGACACACTGGAACACTCCACCACCAAACTCCCTGCTTTAGTGATGCTGCATCACACAACTGTCAGTGTCAGAACAGTTTCAAAGAGTGGGAGATGAATGGTTGAGGCATGCTCAGTATCCAGGTGTGTACAGTGCTTAGTAATGTGTTGAGCCTAACCCTCATTAACACAGTGGTATCTGACTATGGGCTGTGCTGTGCCTTCCAACGGTTTATCCTATCCCCTTCCCTCTATGCCCTTCGGAACGTACATGCATACAATCAGAACCTGCATCTCTATCCGCAATCTCAGTAGAACTAGTTATACACACAGCCACCCTGCATCCATCGCTGCCATTAGCCACTATTATCTGGAGGATTAAGCAGTGGTGCACTCTGAGTGGGCTGTGCTGAGCATGAAATAAATCTGTTGACATTTACTCCTCCCTCCCTCTCACCCCTTTTCCCTCCCTCCCTTTTCCCTCCCTCCCATTTCCTTCCCTCTCTCCCTCCCTCCCTCCACCCACAGGGTGATAAGTGAGGGGGGAGGAGAGTTTTTATAACTGGCTTTTATGACGTCATAATGGATGCATTATGGAGTCGACATGGATGCTTTGTGACGTCGCAATAAGCCTTTACGATATCACTATGGATGATTTTAGGTTTTCACAATTGTTGGGTTTTATGTTACAATGATTTGTGATGTCTGCCTGGCCATAACTCCTAGCCACATCAGTACCCACTGATACAGGGTTGAGAGCAGTGGGAGAGGGACAGAGCAGAGAGATGGGCGGTAGAGGGGGAGTTGTAGCGTAGCACTAAATCCAATATCCTGGGCCACTTTCCCCCCCAAATGGACAAATACAAGATATGACACTGATGTTTAACACAGAGGCAGGAACAGATGGAAAACCACAGTGTCTGTGTGTGTTGAGTAAATACAATCAAAACTTTGCACATACAATATGTTATCTCCACCATATACAATATAAAGCCTCAATACCCTGTCCTCTATAGTAGGCCTACTGTGTCCAGTTGATTGTTTTTGGACTGTACAGACCAGACCACAACTATGATTTTGCTACAGTAGGCCTACATGTGAACTACAGTAAAGGCTATTCATCCCCTTCAGTTGTATTCTCTCATATCCTGTCTCAAGCCCACAGCCACTCTCTAAATCCAAAGAGTATTAGTGATTCGTATCTCAGTTTATTTTGAACCTC